TAAGAGGAATTAGAATGAGAAATTGTATTAAAATTAGAAAATTAGCTTAGATTATCTTAATTAGGGTTTCGGCCCATTAGGCTTAATTTAGGGTTTATGTATAAATTTAACCTATGAATGTCAAATTGATTAAGTTCTTAATATTAATATGTAATTGAGTGAATTAGTATGAGAAATTGGTGATGAAATTGAAAGAAAATACTAGGTTTAATTTAAGGGTAACATTTGGCCTAAATTTAGAATTTTAGGGTTTATGATTTAGTTTGTGTAATTCATTTGTAATTTCGTTCCTTTGGTACTAATTGATGTACATGATGTGTTGGTAATGCGTGGAAGTTGTGATTTTGATGATTATGGAAGGGCATTGCCTTATATGGTATAATGGTGTTATTGTTTGAATGATTTGGAATGATTTTACAAAGTATTGTATATGGTGTATTTTTATGTTGTTAAAACATGCATTATCATGGCATAAATGCATCTCACTTGTGACATGCATTTCATGAAATTTTAATAGTTATGCATTTACAATAAAATACATATGCATGTCAAGTTTATGGAAATGGTTTAAAGTCATGAAAAAAAGAATTTTATGTCAAGACTTTTCCAATAACAATTGGAAGCATTTTATAGTTATTGGTTATGTTTCATGAATTTCATGGTCATGATTTTAATGGTTTTATAAAAAGGACTTCATGGGTTCCATGACCTTCACGATTCATGATTCATGGTTTACATGAGTCGAGTGGTGCAAACGTAAACCAAGGCTCGACAGGATGCGTTCGCAGATTGATCCGGTTTGCTAGGCATATCGTGAAAACCTCGAAGTTCATATAATGGGACATGTCTAAAGACAGAAAAGAATTTTTAGACAAATCGTGATAAAGATTTTATAACACGAAAAAGGATTTTATGATGAGCATGTAGATAATTATCATAAGCATAGACTAACTTACCGAGTCGTTGCTCACGTAATGTCTTGTGGTGTAGATAATACAAGTAAAATGGCAATGTGGTCACGTGAAGTGATTATTGAGGGATACTTGTGTCATGGGTATTTTGGATGTGTAAAGTGGAACTCCTTCAAATAACTATTTTCTTAGTGTTTGGTGTTATAGTTTATATATTGGACATGGTAGGTTTATTCTATGCAATAGTTAAAGCTATGAATAAGTAGAATAATAGTTGAAAATGCAATGTGAATAAGTAAATAAGCTATTTTTGTAGTAGGTGGCATAAGTTGTTCCGTATGTAAATAGATATAGTTATGTGTAACTAAACTTGAAACAAAATAGTATCGGTGGAGTAACTTGGCTATGGTTAGTATTAATTTCTTTTAGTTAATTCTTTATACATGATTACCAATAATAAATCACGACCTTTAAATAAATGAGCAAAATAATAATAATAATAATAAAAGGGTAATTAAGATGAATAAAAGGAATTAAGTATCGATTAACGGGGTAATTAACAAGTAAATTACCATAAACTAATAAGAAAGGAATTTTAAAAAACCGAGCTTCATAGGTCCAATCTGTTTAGTTCAAGCATTCTAAATAAAATAATAAAAAATAAAAAATTCATAGTGCATTTTTGACTGGAACGTAGGACCTATTCATCATTTATAAGTTTTCACAACGTAATCCATACTTAGTAATGTCATAAGAAAGACATAGTACCTTGTTGGTTTATATTCATTGCATTTCGAATGTAGGTCAACGGCAATAATATTCTCGACCTTACAAGTTACGTCCTTAATACATTTTTCATACCTAATTTTTTAGGTTAATTATTTATCTTAAGAGGTTTAGTTTGCATGATATTTGGCTTTGAATATGTATAAGAGAAAGTAGAAGAAATTTTTTTGTTATTATTATTTTTATTTTATGTCCATCGTTATTGGTAGGGATAGCAATGGGGTGAGGCGGGGACGGGGATGGCGCTGAAAAATTTTCCCCGTCTCCGCCCCGTGCCTCGAACAGGGCAAAAATTCTCATACCATCCTCGCTCCAAACGGGGACGGGAATCCCCGCAGGGCAAACGGGGCAATAAATTGCCATCCCTAGTTGTTGGGATGTGGATAATCTTTCTAGAATCCAATCTAAAAGAAATAATTTGGATGATTTTTCTCTCTCTTAAGCATATAACAGATTGATGGAAGAAATGCTTGAAATAGTACCACTTTAGCTCTATGCAACCTCTCGTGACTTGAGAATTGATCCATTTTTAATTCTTAGTTTCGAATTCTTTCACCAAATTGAACCATTCCATTAGTTTGGCTACTTCAATGAAAACGAACATCGGCGCAAACGGAGTACAACTACAATTTGCTGCCATTGACAATTGATGAATGCAAGAGCAATAGCCACAGTAGTACAGTACAATGGTACATAACTTTTCTCACTGATCAGATGTCCAATTCCAAAACTTTTGCAGCTACATTGCCCCTTCCCGGCCTAGAGGGACAAGCAGGAGCTGGCACCACAAACACACACACACACATGCGTGCGTGCGTGTATATATATATATATCCTTCTTATCATGGAAATACAAATGATTGAAATTAGAGTCTTTTTCCTCCAAAGCCAGATGGGAGAAGGGTCCTGCTTAATTTGTCACGTACTTGGTCTTCCAGACAACCTTTCATCCAAATCAAAGTGCGTGCGTTTTGTACAACACAACAGGTCACTCAGGGGCTAGTGCTAACTTGGGTGGCAAAGATGGAGGACGAGAGTTTTGATATAAGTATATAGTGACTCTATATTCAAAAGGGCACATTAATTATGCAGACGAGCAACGATTTACATGGACTTGAAAAAGCTGGCTAACGTAACATGTGGCCTTATGATCTTGCACTGTATATAGCCAACTTGAACAAGGAAGAGCAAGCTGCGTCAGCTTAGCATTGATGTATATAAAGAAGAGGAAGAAAACAAAACGGAAAAAAAGGAAGGAAAAATTATCTGGCAAGTGGGTTAGCATAACACATATTGATTTATATGAAACTAGTTAATTCTCTGGCTGCATCACCACCGCTGGATAGATGTCCACCAATTAACGAATATATACTGCAGCTTAGCTAACGTAACATTTATATTAATTAGTCTGATAAAAGAAAAAGCTCATTTCTTTTTAGCAGGAAAGATATTTAAGATTGCAAATCAGAGTAAATCATCTTTTCCAACCGATCATGGAACTTTGAATTATTTTTGTACCGAATGAATCAATAATAATGTACTTAATCAACAAGGGTTGAGGAAAAGGTTTGGATTTTAAAACTCTCTCTCTCTCTCCCTCTCTTCCTCTCACACGTACACAAATCACATCGAATGAGTAGACATAGATTCTATGGATGTTATAAAGACTAAAGATAGCACCCACTGCCCAAATTAGGTCACTATAAGGAGCCCACTTTTGCTTTGTTATTAATGCTAGCTTCATGCTGGGACATTTGGATTCTTTCACCCTTTCCTTTTTGCTCTCTCAGCTAAAAGGCATCGCCTTTCCTAACTCCCATCACTCAAGGAATTTAAAGTCGCATTGTATTTGTTTATCATCAAGCCTCCAAACATAAGATAAACTTGAAAAATAATAAATATGAATCTTCTTTGAGCACAATTTGCAAAAGGTATTTTGTTTGGACAAATCAGTACCCCTTCACTTTTTTTTTTTTTCTTTTTTGTGCGTGTGTATGTTTTCTTTTGTGGCAAGTATTTGCTTCCGTATTGGTAGACGTTTTATAAACAGTAGAGCACCACAAAAGCATAGATAGAGATTAATGATAACCCAATGACAAAATCCGTATGATCTAAAGCCTAAAAATAATTCGTTGATATAAAATTAATAATATTTTATTATTTGGGTATTGACTACGTCCTAACCTAGCTGGATGCGATAAACTGAATGGTTAGGGAATTTGACATTTGTTAGTGTAAAATTGGAATTAAAATTTGTGTGATTTAATGAATTAATTTTTGCACATATCTGAGATTTAGCACAATGAAGAGAGATCAGACAACATGAAATTTCCTGCCCTTTCCTCAATATCATCCCAAATCGACCCTTTGTGTCAAAGGAATTGGCATGGAAAGAACGTCTTTCAACTTCTATTGCATCTTCGTCTGTTTTATAGCCATCAAGTTGGGTTTTGTTTTGGAAGGAGAAGCCATTAAAATATCAAACTAGAGGTTGAACGACCAATTAGGAATCTAGAAATGCATTTGAATAAAGTAATGCTTCTAATGATGTGTGCAGAGACATAGTTTTAAAAGTTTACAGCATTAATAATTGTCGAATGATTCCCCATGTATAATTGTTGATTGATTCCCTATGTCTTTAGGCATCCCATGTACACATTGTACAACTTCAATTGAATGAAATCTATATATGCTAAATTTGTTGGCCAAAGAGAAGGAAAGATTATGAGCCAGTGGAAATTAAAAAGCTTTTGTTCCTACCTATACGTGGTTTGTGTTGCCTAAGCCTTCAAAGTCTAAAGTTTATTTCTAAAGTGGCAAAGCCACTTAGATTCGCAAGTGGGTGTCACAAATTAGGGAATATTCTCATGTGCAAGATGCGTGACGGTTCTCTCTTAAGAAAACTAGAACTCAAGCACACATTCGCAAGTCAAAATATTTTTGTAAAAGATGCATCACTCTATTAAGATTAAGAAGACTCTGGACTAGCAAAAGACCAAGGAGGTAATTGGCTTCCCAGATTTAGGGGCATCATTGTCACCCAAATGAAATGTCGCTCTCACTTTTCATTACCTGGTTAGACCTTTGGAGTCTAAAGGCCGAAAAAAGCACTCATTCCCCAGGTGTGGTGGTGACAATGACCCGTACCATCCTCCTACTCTCGGTCCCATTAGCCTATTGACCAAAATGATACCTAACTTACTCCATTAAGAGAGAGCCCATTCATTTCCAAACATGGGCATTGAAAGTATCATTAGAGTTAGAGCTTGCACAGATGCTGAATTCTAGCCACTTCGGCCCAATATGCCATTGGCAACAAAACCTTCGAATGAGTGAGTGGCTGAGGGTAAAGTTAACTTTGGGTAGAACTTGGTCTGCGCCGCCAATTCTGTGTTCTGAGTAGAAATGGAGTTTTCTTTATATTCAGTGACTTGGACAATATTGCAGGGTCCAAGTGTTCACTGGACTCGACTGTCTCCACTTCTTGGTATTGTCCAATGTCCGGTACAACAATCTAGCAGGTTTTTGGTTAGTGGCTTAGTACTGTTGAACTGGTTTTCTAGCATGTATCTGAAAACATTAATCAACACATCTTAAACAATACTGAAATAGCTTGTAAAGCAATTACTACCTGGAGGCTTACATGATTAGAAAACTGATTAAAAATGGGATTATGGAAGCTGAAATAGAAGAGAGAGAGAGATTATGTTCCTGTTGCAATTTCATTGAAGTTCACAATGAAAGTAAAATGTCTCATTGGCTAATGTTAGCACCAAGATTCAATAGAGGGACATTCTTCAAGTGCTAAATAGTACAGTAGTTAATGTCGCAAGGACAAGTCAATCACATCATTACCCTCTTTGGATGTTCAAGGTATAACCGCTTTAACGGTTATCTGATGCTTTTTCATGAAGCTAAATGTTATATATATATATATTTTGTCTTGCACACAAAAGAATAGGAAGAAGATGTGAAAGCATTGAGGTTTGGCCATTTCTTATTGGGTATTGGGTCTTGAATTTTATATCTAAATCCCACTAAACATGCATGAAAATCAGCTCTTTCTGTTGTTCGAGAGGATCTCACCCTCTCTTTTTATAATAATAATCTAAAAATAGGATCCTCACTTAACAAATCATTTTCTTTCCTAACTGGTTCTTCGATCTTTCTGGGGGCTCAATATTTCGCCCCCACAACCTTCTTTAATATGTGCTCCTCAACCTCCTCTAGCTATTCCATTCTTAACAATGTCAGCTACTCTTCAACATGATTAACATTGTTCTTTGTAAACTATCACTAGTTGCACAAAGTAGAAAATCATGATCCTTCTCTAATTAGTCTCATATTTTACTTTCACCAGTCGAAGTACTCCCTTGTTCTCTGCTGACATTTAACTTAATCTCATCTTATTGATTTATTAGATAACGATGTCTGGTTAGTGGAAACTGGTCTTACCTTCACGATTCTTTGGTCAATATAGCTATTCCAAGGCTAGTGTTAATTTGGTGCATGGCTAATAGACCTTTGGTGCCATCAAATGGAGGCCAGGGGCAACAATTCCCATCTCTTCTTGGACAGGAATCCCTGTACAATGTCACATTTGATGAGGTGCATGATCAGCTCGGAATGGTAGGGAACCCTTTGAGTGCAATGAATGTTGATGAGCTAAGAAATGTGATATCCGTTGAAGAACGCCTGCTGGTGCAAAACCCTCCTCCTACTTCGTTATCTTCCTCGTCTTTTCTTGGGAATTTTAATCTGAATGGGGCATCAAGTAAGAAAACTATCGATGAGGTGTGGAAGGAAATTGCCAACCAAGAACGTGTGAACGCCTTGGATAACCAATTAATTCGGCAACAACTTGGCGAAGCTACGCTTGAGGATTTTCTAGTTCGAGCTGGTGTAATCGACGAAGGAAATGAAAATGGAGTATTTAGTCATCAACCTATTATGGAGGTTGATCCAGTGGTTGTAGTGTCACAGCAGACAGATTTGTTACAGTATCAGATGGCTGCTGTGCAACAACAGCAGCAGCAGATGAGAGTGTTGGATTCGAATTTTCATATGTCTGAAGCTGCTTATGAGAACCATGTTGTGAATGTTGGATACTCGGAGAACCAACTGTCTATGACTATGGCAGTGTCAGCAATGTCAGCAACATCTTCAGAGTCTCCGGTGGTTGCTGAAAAGAAGTGTCGTTATGCAGACGAGATGATGAAGAAGACTATTGAGAGGAGGCAGAAGAGGATGATCAAGAATCGGGAGTCGGCTGCAAGGTCAAGAGCAAGGAAACAGGTCATTCTTCAAATATGAGCTTATTGGCATAGGTGTTTCTCTTTCAAAGAAGACTTCCTTATTGAATACTAACAGCTGGTTTTGATGATTATAGGCTTATACCAATCAGTTGGAGCATGTAGTGTTTCATTCAAGAAAAACAAATAACTGGCTCAAGAAGCAAAAGGTACAGCATTCGCATTCTTAGATGAGCAAGCTTATATTTTTACCATTTCCTCTACTAATTAATGCCAATTCTATTCAGTGGATGCTGGTATGTGCCTATGCCGGAAATTTTTGTGGTTACAGTGATATGAAAGGTCTTTCATCATTGTTTGAAACAAAAAAGAAAGAAATATTGTGTACAAACTTTGGCATCGAGAACCGATTGATGAGAATTCAGTTTGATTAAGCTAAAAGATTTTGATGGTGGCCAATTAGAGTTATTAGCTAACTTGATTTTTTTTGGCAGGAATTGGAGATTCTTTTATCGTCTGATCTAACTCCCATGCCACGATTCCAGCTACGGCGAACCAGCTCAGCTTCATTCTAGCAATTGTCAATACTTACATATGCAATTTTTTCATTAAAAGCAATTTGGTTCTTTCATTCATTCATAGACGTACCAATTTTGGTTTCTATTGTTAGCTTCATCCTAGGAGTTAGCCAATCTATATTCTTTGAGATGGAACAATTGGATTAATTACAGTAGACTATTGTTAGTGCAATGTCTCACTGGAATAGCAGGATTTGTTAATATGTTAAAAAAAACCCTCAAAAATTCCACACAATAAAGCTATAGGGTGACTTACGCTTGTAATTTTATTTAATGATAATTGAATGCCCACAGCCATACTATGCATGATGATATAAAGTTTGCAGGCCCATAATTATCCATTACGGGGGTGAAACTTTTGAAAAAAAAAAAAAACCCAATAAAATTACCATGTCAAACCTGATTTACTAAAACAATCTAAAATATAAACAGACGTATTTTAAAACAATTTAAAAACATAAATAGACATATTTTGCAATTGCATATCCAATAATTTCTTTAAGTAAAGTCGATTTAAATTCTAACGATTTCAATTTATTTAGTTACTATATAAGGAGAAAAGATTATTGTTATTATATAATGAATATTAAAAAAAAAAAAAAAAAAGAAGAAGAAAAACAATTCAAAGAACCGGGGAACCACTCTTTTCTCGACCATGCTTAAAGAATACCTTTCGATGGCTCAAGTGAGTTCAAAACAATCCTCCTCTTTTTCAATTTGGTAGAATCCTCTTTAATAAGGATAAAATAACATGGAAAACGAGCTTCACAAAGTGAGATGTAACCTCGTTCGTGTTTAGTTGCTAATTGTTTGTCCCTTGGTTTTGTGCATACGCTTCCTACCCTTCATGACTTCGGGACACTGACATGTGAATTCTATCCCATGTTTTCAGGATCCTAAAGGAAACCGTGGAATCAAATGCCAATCCAACGCAGTTGATGCACATAAGCCAGCCCTACTCTGATGAGGCAGTAGATTACAGAAACAAACCAAATGACAGCATAAATTCCAAGAGAGAGCCTGAAGGAGCAGGAGAAGAAAATAGAGAAGAAGACCGAGGATGATGATGAAGAAGAAAATGACGGCAATAGAAGTGAGCATGAAGAGACAATGCAGCCACCAACAAAGACGAAGAAGTGACCATACCATATTCCAGCTTCTGTTAACTTTATCATAACAGTTTAATCCAACATCGTATTCAACTTCTTAACTGAACTAGAGAGAATGCAATCTTTCTATCCCTTCAATTGGATATTTAAAAATCAATGCCAACCATTATTGGAGAGTGTGGGTCAACCTCAGAAAGAACACGAGGTGGATCGTTTTATCTGCATCAAACAGTTTATATACAGTTTACTAGAATGTAGTTTCAATACAGAGACATAAAATATGCCCTTCACCAGAGAGAGAACACAAGGCTAATCTATGCTTTTATTTTCACTGTTCATTGCATATAATTCTGGCATTTTATATTTTTCCTCTTCGCCTTTCTTGATTTAAATCAAGATCAGGCATACGGACTCTAAAACGAGAAAATGAAATAGATTACTACTTCCAACATCTATATCAGCATATGTACACATCTATTCTTCTTTATTTACATATAAAAAGAAATACGAAGGCCAAGCATGTTAAACTTTACAAATCAATGAAACATGTCTCTTGACAACCAGCTCCTTCTCAACCTATCAATTTGGAAAATGACAACAAAATCAACTTCTTAAATAGTCAGTGATGCGGGAAGCATGATACAACAGTATTCCAACTTTCCACAACTGAAATACACATGCACATACATTCAATCGTGCTTTCAAGTCCACAAGATATTGAAACCACAACTTCAATTTAGCCGCACCAATAAAAGAAATGGGCTTTATGGTTAGAGAAGTTATAGAAGAAAGTCTGTTGAGATAAGTAGAAAACCGACTTTGAGAACATTTAACTCAACTCGGGTGAATGGCCAGGTGGCAAATAGCAAAATTACTGTAACTGACATTAAAGTTCCAGCAAAGAACAGCCAAAAAATAACCAAAATCACTTGAACAATTATCACCTTAAACTGCCATCAGGCAACGAGGACCTAATAATATACAAGTTCAAGGATTACAATTCTGCAACTTCTAACAGAAGCAGTTTTGGCAATTCTGTTGGGATATCCATAATTGTGATTCAACATAGAAGAAGCTACAACTGCAGATCTAGAGCTGGTTAGTTGGACTTTGTCAAGTGCATGTGACTTCAAAAAAACTTGCACGAGTGTGCGGATTTGCATTGTGCATATATTTATACTAGCATAGGAACTCAGATAATCAATTAGAAGATCACTTGAAAAGCTTCTTCTTCTTAACAAAAAAACCATACAGAAGTTCCTCTGCATATCACTAAATAAACCAATGCCATCTATTTACAGGTCCTCAACCAAGTGCTTGGTGTAGTTGTCACATTCACAAGTACCTAACAGTTATTAAAAAAGCATACCATCTGCATATAGATGACTTACTAAAAATTTGAAGGTTGTAGCACCACCAAATAGATTATTTCTTTGTGGCATCTATAAACATGGCTCGAGTCCAGTGCTCAACATCCTCAACTTGTGATGGAGGGGGAGGAAAAGTGGGATGTTCCACCAGATCCCATCCATCGATAAAGCTCTCATTCTTCCCAACATCAGCTATCTCATTGGCAGAAAGAAAACTGGTCGCTGAATTTGGAAGGTTATTGTCACTTGTGTTTTTCTGCCAGGCAAATGAGAAAATAAGAAACCCGTTGAAAAATTGCAAGCAAACAGAGAGCAGTCAAAAAATGAACTTTATTTCATAATAGCCACAAAATTACTATTTTCTAACCAACACAAAGCAGTTAAATTCTTAAACAAATCCAAAACCCAGCCAATAAGTGACCAAATGCCAACTATCTGTTCCATCTCTCTAGACAGATCCCAAAATAGAAGTAAATAAATGCATGGCTATATATTTCTAAACAAAAAGAAGGCCACTCCAATGAATGTCCACCTATATAGGCAATGTACACGCAGGACGCTAACAATAATATTGATTGATTTGGACTGTCCTTGTTAAAAACCAACTTCTGTTATGTCATCCAGCAGCCTACTTCTTAAAACATGATAAAATAACGACTACATTCTATTTTGAACACTACAAAAAAAAAAAAAAAGGAAGGTGGTGAAAAGAGAAGGTGAAGAATATCACGGAAAAGGAAATTCAGAACATGAAAATTAGAAATGTCAGCTAAGCTTTCAAACATTTTACAAAAACTGAGTTAAGGACATACCGTCAGATACAGTGCATGTGCACTCTCCAATAGCATACTTGAGGAAATGGCAGAATTCACATTCCATACAGATTTGTTCAACTTTTGCACTTGTTTGCATGACCTGAAACTCAAAAGTGAAAGTGTCAAGCATAATAAACAAAATTAAGTGAGTTTAAGAAAAGAAGGCAAAGATAAAACAAACAAAACACATCCTTTTAATTTTGTTTATTATGAAGGTAAAGATAAAGACAAACAACACGCATCATTGTCATGATAAAAATGCTGACAGTGACAGGTGTTCTTCAATTTCACGTTTACTAGAGTAGAATTAATGAATATGCTGAAGATACATACCTTGAACAAGCCATTTTCAAGTTAAAAACAGACCGAACTTCCTTGGATGAGGATAGTGTCGCCAATAATTTTGCTAATGCTTCGAAAGTAGATGCATCAGAAGGAACATCTAAACATAGCGAGTTATAACAATATGCTGTTACACATGCCACACTTTTTTTGAGAAGTGAAATCCCCTTTTGCAAGTCCTTGTGTGTTTCGACAGAGTGCGGAGACGCTGATGAATAATTGAAGTTACTACTTCTTGAAGAATCTAGGGGCGGCCTTCTTTCTGATTCCATTGAAGCAACACCAAAATTACTTGAGCTTCTATCAGTCCATGAATTTTCAGCACTAGTAGAGCAATAATTCTGGCGAGGTATAAAGAGGGGATATTCATTACTGCAGAGCACACAAAATGTTTAGTTCTAGAAGGTGCAATTTGTAACCAAACTTGGCCACTGAAATTATAAAGTACAAACTCTTCCAGTAAAAATACCTTCTAGAAGAAGGACGTGCATTCCAATAAGAATCTCGCTGCCATATTCGAGAGCAAGAACCCTGAGGAAAAATTAGAATGAATTCCAGAGCCATACAAATGAAGTCCACTGCTACAGTACCAAATTACCAATAGCATTCACCAAATTCTAACTCAGCTTTAAGCAACCTTATTGAGAATAAGTAAACTTTTAAATTGAGAAAATAAACAAAAAAGATTTTAATAAGAAAATATTTTCCACAATTCCAGCAACAAAAGAAATAGCAAATGAAAATATTAACATAGACAAAGAACCCTGAAAAGTCAAAATCACAAATACTCATACTTCTAGCTTTGGTTGATGAATTCCAGTAACATACACAGATAGCATGTTGCAAAATTCATCAACCAAATGTAGAAAAATAGTAATAAGAAGAAAAAACAGGACTCTACATAATAAGAGCTATATAGTTTGCCAGTATTTCAGAAAGCTGCAAATATCCAAACTTCAAAACTAATACATGGCCAGCTTCAAAACTGTCATTTGAAAAATATGTGATCTAGATAAATGAACATATATATGCATGTCAATAAACTATCCATTTACCATTTGAACTATGACGAAGGCCTGTTCAAGCTACATTCAAGAAGACACAGGAATAATCCTAAGAAGATCGAATGCTATATCCTTCATCAAGTTTCCAAATAACAAAAACTCTTGACAGCTTTACTATTGATGAAAACCCCTTAAATATGTTGAGCATGGAAACCAGGACCAGGATAACTAAGAAAAAGTCAGCAAATTCAACAATGAGGGAAGAGGGACACAAAAACATTCCTTGGAGAAAATTCTGCAATCGTATAAAGAAACAGCATGCTTACCGCAAAACCTGAGTTATGAAGTGTAGGGGCAGCCAAGTTATGAACCACTAGATTTAGAAGCTGCACCATGTATCTGTTCTCCAACCATGGGACTGATTAGTAATGGCATGATAAATTCAAAAGGAATTCTAGGCAATGATAGATAATAGAAACCATGAGAGTTCATAATGTATTACGCCAAAAAGGTGTGCATTAAATAAATTTCCACGTATTCCAAAATAATATGCTAACATAACCACAGAGAAAGGGGAAAAAATTACCCCAAGGAGGCAGCAAGCTCTTCTGATGAAACAGAGTGGGGGTCAAGTCCTCTTGGTAAGCATGCATTACAGATTTGATCATATTGACCACTATAGTTTGTCTCCCCAGCTACATTCACCTAGACAATATAGAACAGGTCACACTATTACAGAGTAAATTATAAAAAATTATTTAAATACACCTGTTATGGCATGCAAGTGAACACAGACACACCCACTTACACAAATATAAGAGAAACTTTATGATCTATGACCAATATGCACTGACATCCAAAGCCGAGTGTTTAAAATAGCATAAAAATGCATCCAAAGGCTACATCTAAATGGCATGTCATAAAGAGACACAATCAGTGAATTTATCAAAAGATCCAGATGGCAACTGAGCAAACATAATGGTCACACTTTTCAGTCACTTGCAGGTATCAAAATGTGTTTGTTTTTACGTGCTTACCCGGCGTTGGGGGAACAATTTACATATCTGTTTTATAACCACAGACCGCTTATGAAGTAGTTCAGAAGTAATTGCCATCTGCAGAGAAGAAAATGTCTTAAAGGCATCAAATATCTTCCTGCTTAACATATGAAACAACAAATAGAAAAAAGTTTATAAAGCTCCAGAAATAATTCACAAATGGAAATACAGCAATGAAGCCCAAAAATTTTAAGCATGCAAATTTGAAAAATCAACATATTTTAATTTTTGTCGGGTGGGGGGCGCAGATACACAACAAAATTTTATGTTCAAATGGAACTGGGTAGTGGTTCTCACATGCCCTAAACTCTGAGTGCAAATAAGATTGCGATAAAACTTCTCCAGTTGTTCCACGCGATTTTTTTCTAACTGCAGTAACAGGAAAACATGCATAGTTTATAATGAATAAGTTGTTATACTCAGAATAAAAATTCAAAGGGGAAAGAAGGAAACAGGAAAAAAATAATACCACATTGCGAGCTAATTCAAGCATCCCGTATTTGATCTTTATATCTTGAGATACCTTCTCGACCTTAGCCTTCCCTGTGAAAGTGTCATATAATAACCTAATGAGTTAATCTTAAACCTAAGGTACGTACAACAGCAATGAGATGTCCCCAGACCAACCTTGAGCAAGTTGTTCCTTATTACGACGAAGCTTCTCTCTCAAACTTGCAAGCTTCTCATTTTGCTGCACTCTCCAATTGAATTGATCAGCTGCCTTCCCCTGGATTGTATTGGATGCATTATAAAATTAGTCAAAAAAGTCAAATAATAACATAAAGATTCATCAGAAAAGGGATAAAACAAAACCTTTGCGACAAGCACATCACTTAATTTGGAGTGTAAGGAATCACGGCGACTCTTCAACGATTTCAACAAAGTGCTATATTCATTCGTTCTGCATACCCAAACAACAAATTTAACGTACACTGAAGAACCCTAATATATTGCAAACAATTAGGTAGTAGCGGAATCACTTGATCATACAGAAAGTACCTGTAATTAACACAAATTGGACAAATAGAGGCCCGATTTGAATTCTCACAAATGGCACAGCAACTTGATCTTTTGTTCATCGTTTTACTTTCTCATCAATAAATTGCAATCCACCAAACCCTAACCTACATAATAAATAAATAAATCCCTAAAATTGCAAAGTGAAGCAGTTAAATTCCAGAATCGATTGTCAATTGAGACAAAATTGTGCGCTTCTCCCTTCAATCGCTATTTCACTTTAGTCTAAAACAAGTTCAATTCAAACCGAGTAACGTGTACATATTTGTTATTATTTTTTTGCTCTTTGAAGTTAAAAATCGTACCAGCAGTGGAATTGGCGAAATCCAAGTGTCAACAGCAAGTTATCATCGACGGATTCAAAGCCAGGGCTTATGCAAGGTTGTTTTCAGTGAAATTGTGGGAGTACAAGTCCTTGAAGGGTTTTGCGGAATCTTGAGGTGGGCGTGATTCCTTCCAGGGTCCCGCGAAGCTGGAGCCAAGAATTTTCAGTTTCTGCCAATGAGATTGCTTCAAACTTTGGGTTTGGGCCCGTTTGAACTCGTGATCTATCATACTTCTTGTATAAGGAGAATTACTTGTAAATCAAATTACATTTTAAGGGGAAAAAAACAAAAAGAGTTTCTGCTGAATTACATAGACACCCCCGGGGTTTTCACAAATTTTATGATCATGCCATCAAGGACAAGCAGATGGGCAGGGACATATTTTGCTCTCTCTTCACGGGAATAGATTGCTTCGTATCCTACGGTAGATAATGTATATCCACTTGGCACTCATCTTCTGACAATATTTGGGGATTTTGCCTTGGGCCTGATAGCGGTCTCTGGCTGGGCTAGTTTGTTTGTAACCTTCAATGGCTTCAAGGCCCTGTCTGTATCTAGCCTTAAGTATCGTCCTAGCTTACTGAATTAATGCTGAATTTCCCGAGAATTTATATGGTTACTGGAAGAAAGTTTTAGTGAATGAATGATGAATCTTCCGGGAAATTCTATGGTTATTTGATGGTGTTATAATTATATTTTCTTCAAAATAGAAATTATTAATTTTTTTATTTATTCTATCATAATAATTTATTTTATCATTCAGTAAGTTAATTAATTATTTCATAATTAACTAGATAATTATTCTAGTTACTAATAATATTGTACTGATTATTATTCAAAAGGTCCCCTTTTACATTTAAAAAATAAATAAATATTATTTACACGGTTAAATAAGTTCACTTGATGAATCATAAAATATTATCTTATATTTTTACAATTTAACTAAACTAAAGGCTCCGTAATTATGAAAGCTACAAATAATTAAATAGAATCTCAATAAAAAGAATTCCTTATTATCTTAAAAAAGAAATATATATATATATATACATATTATTTAAATTATAAAGAAATAATTTTTAAATGATTGGACAAATAAATACTTCCAATTATTTAAACACTTTTTTATTATTTCGTAGACTTGGAGGCTGCATAATTACAATACTTTGCAGTTATAGAGAATTTCCCCTGTTCAAAAATTATAATATTATTATATGTACAAGTAAATTAAATTCAAAAGGGAAAATAAAAAATAAGATAAATCCCAAGCAGAAAACAAACACAACGCTGAGTAATTCCTATTTTCCGTGCGAAGCTAACGCTTACAAGTAAAACAAAGCCAGGAAGGGAACTTCACAGAAAAAGAGAGTTCCTACGCATCCAGAAAACAAGGTAGAGAATAGGAATACATAACAAATGAACGGACAAATGTGCTAAACAAAGATAAAGAAACCCGATACATTAGGATACGAAATTCGAAAACCCTGTAATATGTTCAACATACAAAGTTGTTCTCTGCCTTGTAGCTTCAGAACATTAGGCTCTGTTGCATGCAATTTGATTTCTAAAGAAAAAAGAACCTACAGGACTATAAGAGCTATCAGTATTTTAACAATCATCTATGTTAGTCTTAGAGACACCATCCCCAAGATAAAGTGATCGACAACACTAATCAAGGTTCACTTTCTTATATAAGCATGACGGTTTGCTTTCATGTCCACTATCACGTGGAAAGACTTTCTGGAATCCTGACCGCAGAAAATATATGGATGCTTCTGGAAGGTACCACTCAGCTCTTCATCACATGAAATGGTCTTTAACCAGCTTCTTCAGCTCCTCCATCTTTTTAATGATCTTTGGATTCATCAGATCTCTAGCCTCCCTCATGAGTGTGCCTTCTTGACTTAAATGGTAAGCATCCACCATAGCTTTTATCCAGGTGTATAGCTTTTCTGGGGTCCTACAGTAGCAAAAATTCAAAAGTGATGAAGGTATTAAAGAAATGTGCTGTATTGTAGATTAACAGGTCAGGGAAAAATAAATTTTGCTTCCATTACAAAATCATCTAGGAGGGATCTAATCATCAGGGTAATCCTACCAATCCATAGTATCTATGCATTATTTTTTTAAAGAATTTTAACAAAAATCTTCAATCAGGTAAATTTCCCAGGGTAAAAAACAGCCAAGGAAATGCTTGAAACCTTGACAAATGATGTTTAGGCCAATGAATCTCACAGTGAGCTGATAAATTCATGCACATTCAACATAAAAAAAGAAAATTTCATATACATACGTGTATAGGGAGTCCACATCCTTCCCATCAAGTTCTTGTCCTGGGGTAAATGCATCATTCAACGCACACAACCGCTCCTCAGGATCCTCAATTGTAAGAAGATACTTCAGTATCCTAATGTCCTTAGGCACATTCCTCTGAAGATTACCTACTGCTGTCTTGTATAGATGATACAATACATCCTTGACCTGCAATACAGAGCAACATATGATCTAAGCTAGGCAATCTAATGCTACAAAAGAAAACAATGATGAATCTGACAATTCCAATTTAAGGGCTGGTCTGTGCATTCAGAATGAAAGTGGATCACGGCATCCATTCCCCTTAAAAGGGGGAAACAACATGACAGTAACAAACACTATTGCTTCTTGTAATGGTTCCTGCTTGACAAGTTCATGTGATCCATGAGATAAAGTATCATAACAGGACTTTTCTTCTAATAATGTTTTTTTCCTACTATCTCTAAATGGGGACGAGAGCAATTGTTTGAGGGCAGAAATCAGTTTACCTCATCTTTTGTCATGTTGGACTCTTTAGCGGCCGACCACGCTTTTGTAATCATCAGGACCAATGCTGAATCAAGTTGATTTTTTTCAGCTAAATCATCTATCTTCTTGCAAGCAGCATCTAAGGAAGGAGAATTGATGATATCTTGGAGCTTCAGCTCTGCAGCATTCAAGGCTTCCATGTTTTCTGTTGCACTATCATAAGCTTGGACAGCAGCCACACAATCATTTCCAAGCTTTGCCAAGGCTTCATATGTAAACAAGAAAATATAATGAGTATCACACAATATAGAAGACAAAATAGGGGTAAAAATGCAGTTCAATCCTAATGGCAGGTTTTGCATTCATGCTAAGGTTCAACAAGAAATCTTTGACAAATAAATTATTGGGCCAATCATTGAAACATACTTGAATAAAATGACGGATAAAAGCAAAGAAAATAATCAGGAAAAATTCTGCACTGATCATTAACTTTTGTAACAAAGTTAGCCGTTGGCCTAAGCATATTTACTAAATATAACTCAAGGAAGCCTACTCCATCATGGACTTAGCACAACCATGACAATCAGATTAAACTTCCCTGAGAATCTCAGTGATCACGTTATGCAGATAAGGTGATAGAAATCTGATTGCTATCGCCGCGAGCTCACATGCCACTGTCATGGAGGTGAATCAATCTTTCAAGGAAAAAAAAAGGCATGTGTTTATGTTTATGGCGAACAGTATCAATTCTTTTATCTCTAGAATAGGCAACAGGTAGCACAATTATACAACTTCCAATCCTGCTATCAGTTAGACTTGATATCCGATCACCACCACACAACCCACTAGGAATAAGTGTTTGTACAAATACATCATCAGAAAGGAGAGAACTCACCATCGCAAAACTCACTAGGAATAAGTGTTTGTACAAATATATCATCAGAAAGGAGAGAACACATACTCACCATTTTTCTCACTTGGACTGTCATGATATGATTGCGCTACAGTGTAAAGATGCACAAAGAATTCTTTCGTGAAGTCTTTGCGACGCTTGGCAACAATTTCGCTTAACTCCAATGGTGCCTTCTTGATGACTCCAAGAAGTTCATTATGCCTTTGCACATCTTGATCAATCTGTCGAAACAAGATTCACAAATTAATCAATAGTAAACATGAACACAATTAATAAAGATATCGCATTGCCAGCTACGTAAAATAGGGAATTCACATAACTAGAAAAGCTTCATTAAATACCAAAAACCAACCTCTTTCAATTTCCTCGCAAACCTAAGTATATTATGCTTCCTTCCAGGATCATCCTCACTATCCGCTTGTTCCTGACACCTCTTGTAGAAATGAGGCCGTAAATTGTCCCATTCCTTGCTAAAAGCGAGCAACTTTCTCCAGTCATTTGGAGTAGGCTTGTCGACCATGAAAACATCAATTAATTTATCGCATACTCGTGCCATTTTACCATCACCAACACCATCTTTTTCGTCATCATTAATAGCTGTTGGTTCGTACGAATCAGAAAATGACAATTTCTCTCCTTCACAATCACTCGGTGCTGTAGTTACAGCAGCAATAAGAAAGGCTTTTCGCCGCCTGACTGACTTAACTGATATACTACAGCCTGGAATTTCACAAAATATAAGCAATTTTTCAAACTAACCAATCCAATTTGTGACAATCACCAAAATTAAAGCCTCCAATAGCAGTATTAAGAAAAAGACCATTAAACAACTGTTTTTGGTTATATATATACGAAAAAAAGAGTGGCTCACCATTGAGATTAGAAGAGATTATAGGGTTTGAAATTGAACATCTGAAGAAGGAGAGAGAAGGACACCGACGTCGAGAGGCCGTTACAGTTAGAGAGCAAGAAGCCTGCACAGTAGCACAACCCAACTCCATCGAATCCTTCTTTTGGAGACCAAATTATCAGTTTCCCTTATTATGTTTTTAGGGCTTCTAATTATCAACTAACCAATAACCAGTAACCAGGCACAGAGAGAGACAGAGAGAGGGTTTAGTCTTTTACAAATTTTGTAGTGTGTAACTCGAAGATGCCAGAGCCTTACCCGTCTGATATTTTCTAGAGGTTTAGCTTATTCTTCCAGAGAAAACGGTGTCGTTATCATGAGCCATCTTCCTAAATGATAGCTATTCGTTTCAAACGACGCCGTTGGTGATAATATATTTTCAGATAGAGAGTAAGACCCGAACGTTGAACGTGGAGGAGTGTTCACGAGGGAAAAAGCCAACGGCTCTCCCAAATTTATCCCTGCGCCCTAGCAAAGCTTCTGGAAACGGCAAGTTTCTTTCGTAGTAAACAAATGCTATCATTAACGGCATGTATTTCACCAAACACGTCGCTCCTCCAACAACCTTCGCCTTTCAATATCCAATCGCCACTGTCCTTTACAAAACAAAAACACAAACGCACTTCAAAAACAGGAAACAATAATTACTCTAATTCTCATTGCTTCCCTTGCAAAATCACTAGTGATTCACCTTCTACTTCTTATTTTCAGTACCCAGTAGCAACAAAGGCTCCCAGATATAAAGGAACCCCAGGTCTTGAATTTTCAAAAACAGAATCAGCAAGTGAATTTGTTTACTCTAATTTGATTGCACTTTGGCTTCAGTCTTGTTTCAAGGTTAAAGACATTAGAAGAATACACGCGGTTTTTTTAAAGCGTTTGAGAGACTCGGGCACTTATGTGAATAATAATTTGATAAGTGGCTACTTGAAATTAGGGGAGTTAATTGAGGCGCGGAAGGTGTTTGATGGAATGCCTGACCGAAATATTGTTAGTTGGACGGCAATGATAAATGGGTACTTCAAGTTTGGTTTAGATGATGAAGCGTTAAGGTTGTTTAGCGAAGCCATAAAGGATGGGGTTGTACCAAATAGCAAGACTTTTGTGTGTGTATTGAATTTGTGTAGTAAAAAGTTAGATTTTGAGTTAGGAAGACAAGTTCATGCTCGTATTGTCAAGGGTAATTGGAGGAATTTGATTGTGGATAGTGCCATTGTTTATTTCTATGTTCAATGTGGTGATTTGAAGAGTGCTTTTTGTGTGTTTGATCGGATGGTGGAGCGGGATGTGGTTTCTTGGACGACAATGATTACTGCCTGCTCGCAGCAAGGGCGCTGTGAGGAGGCTTTTGGCATGTTCACGCAAATGTTGGATGAGGGGTTTTGTCCTAATGGGTTTACTGCCTCTGGAGTTTTGAAGGCATGTGGAGAGGAGAAGGCGTTGAAGCTTGGGAGACAAGTACATGGGGCTATAGTGAAGAAGATGTATAAAGATGATGTTTTTGTTGGGACTTCTTTGGTGGACATGTATGCTAAATGTGGAGAGATTTCAGATTCTTCAAAAGTGTTCAATGGGATGAGGAGGAGGAACACAGTTACCTGGACGTCTATTATAGCAGGGTATGCTAGGAAGGGTCTTGGCGAGGAGGCTATAAGTCTTTTTCGATTAATGAAGAGACGACGGGTAGTTTCCAACAACCTGACCATTGTAAGTATGCTCAGGGCTTGTGGCTCAATTGGGGCATTGCTTGCTGGGAGGGAAGTTCATGCTCAGATTGTTAAGAATTGCAGCCAATCGAACGAATACTTAGGGAGTACTCTTGTGTGGTTCTACTGTAAATGTGGGAAGTCCCGTACTGCCTCAAAAGTCCTGCAACAAATACCTTTCAGAGACGTTGTCTCATGGACTGCCATAATTTCTGGTCATGCATGTCTTGGGCATGAGTCTGAGGCCCTTGAGTTTTTGAAGGAAATGATGGAGGAAGGTGTTGAACCTAATTCATTTACTTATTCATCAGCTTTGAAAGCATGCGCTAATCTTGAAACTGTTCTGCAAGGGAAATTGATTCACTCCTTTGCCAACAAGATGCCAGCCTCATCTAATGTTTTTGTAGGCAGTGCTTTAATTCATATGTATGCCAAATGTGGATATGTATCAGAAGCAAGTCAAGTTTTTGATAACATGCCAGAGCGAAATTTGGTTACTTGGAGGGCTATGATTATGGGCTACGTAAGGAATGGTCTCTGCCAAGAGGCTTTGAAGCTCATGTATAGGATGCAGGCAGAAGGTATTCAGGTGGATGATTACGTCTCTGCAACAGTCCTTGGGGCATGTGGAGAAATAGAGTGGGATGCAGAGCATTCATCTAAGTACTGCTTGCGTACTAGCTGACCTTCATCCATTTATAAGTTACACTGGAACGAGAACTTGTGCATAGCTATCTATATTAGAAGTATACTTGTTCTTATGGAATTTATGTTGCATGGATGAGGAACCCCAAATCACTGATCAAGGTATTTACCCTGCCTCCTAATTGCAGCTTTTCCTACTTTCCCTTATTAAGGTGGAAAGAAGATAAAAAAGGGTAAACTTCAATGATCAATATAGCTTGTTGACTAGTTTCTTGGTTGATCCAGTGATGTTGGAGGCCTTCTGACAACATGATACTATCTTACATTAGCAACATGAAAATAACACCAATGTCCAGTGTGTTAGCTGTGTAATTTTACGTCCATCTTGAAAATTCATCATAAGCAGGTGTCACGTGTAGGATCATGCCAGGGTCTATATGCTTCTTTTAAAAATTGCTCTTAAACATGAACCTGAGTCTTTCATCAAAAGTGCCTGTTTTACTTTACATACTCGAAGTCTACTTTAGATCTTCAACCATGTTTCTTTGTTTCTACTGTTTACATGGAGTTCTTGCATGTGGAGGGAAGATAATGAAACACTAGCGAGTGTCCGGTGGTGGTTCTTTATGTGTCTTTCTCCCCCATTTAATTCCTTGGTTAAACATATCATTCCCGTATAGTGCCACTAAAAATTAAAGAGGAAAGAAAAAGAAGAAAAAATAAAAGCAGGTGCGAGAGGAGGAAAGATTCTGCAAGTAGGGGATCACGGAAAAATTTTAAAAGATTAAACAGGTGGACTTGAATTAGCGATCTTCGCTTTCACGTGCTGACTACTCTCAGTCTCATGTATCGTGCTGGATCCAATGGAACTAGACGAAAAAGATTACCAAAGGGTTATGGTGAGATAAAGATTCCTCCATCATTTCGAGCCCCTGTGTTTTTATGCAAAGTATATGAACTTTGAATTAAAATCGTTTGAAAATACTAATGGAAAATCAGAAAAGGATAAGCAGATATTACGCAAATTCAATCTTTTAAGAGCAAAAGTGATAGAAAAGCACGAATTTTGTATGAAGCTGAAAACCCAATTTTCTTAAAAAAGAAATAAAAGCTCTCATTACGTGTCCTGAAGTGGTGTATACATAAAAAATTTATTTTCACAGCTTTATATATATTCAAATGATTATGCGGAGAATGATTCACTTGCAAAACCTTCAAAGATTGCCTTGGACAAGTTTTTGAATTTATTTGTTTTCCACTACTCATATGACTGCATGTAGCTTAAAATAAACAAAATCCTCCTAATTGGCTTGGGGGAAGCAAGAAGCAACGAGAAGTTATCGATTACTACATAACATCATGAGTGGCTTCCCTCCACCCATCACGTGAGAGAAAGAGCAGGAGCACTCGGGTATATTTAATAATTTATCCTGAGGTTTTTGCGATGGATGTAAATAAAAATCCTTCCAAGCCCAAGACCAAGCCCAAGCTAAACAGAGTTGAGAAGATTAGTTGAATCGCGTAATACAAAGAAACAATATAAGTAAGGTAACGTGAAAAAAAAGCCCAAATTTGCGGACGACATACATAGAAATCAAATAGTAAGGCCGTATACTACATGAATTTCAGCCGACGGTCTTCCCGCTTCTCTCGCTTAGCATTCCTTGCCATTCACTCCCCTCCCCTCCCCTCCCCTCGCCTCTCCATAAACAAATAAAATAAAATAAAAATCTCCTCTTTTATACATTTTTAGTGGGCGGTTTCAATCCAATCAGTCTCAACAAGCAAACTGTTTGTTAACTTGAAAGCTATTTATGTCACCTCTTTGTAACTTCTTTCTTCTTCATTCACTCCCTCTCTGATTTTTCCTTACAATTTTTTCGTGACTCGCTCTCTCTCTCTCTCTCTAGATCTGTAAGTTCTTCTCTTCCTTTCTTTTTGTTTTGTTTTTAATTGCAAGCAAGCCAAACCCTAATGCATTATTAAGTCCTTTTTTATATATTTGATTGAAATTTTTATGTGTTGTTTTTCTGGTTTGATTTTCGATTTTTTTTTAGGTAGTTGATCGAGTTTTTGCTTTTTTTGGTATCACTGCATTAGGCATCGAGCTTTTGTGCAACTGTTGTTTTTTTTTTTTTTAAATTATTTATGGTTGTTAGAAAAGTCTGGTTTTGCATGTGTTTTAGTTTCCTTATTGTTGATTGACAAGTCATTTGTTTGACCTGCCCACTTTTGACCACTTTTGTCTTTGAGTCTTTCTATCTCAGTATGTTTGCTTATGTATTAGTTTGGATATAATATAATTTTGAAGTATTCTACTTTTTTTTTTTTTGTTTATGTCTTTTTGATTTGGCTACAAATGCTTGAAGATCAAAGGTCTTGATTTGACCATTTGGATTTTCTTCTTTTTCCTGTAACCTAGATTCGATTATGATCTCTTTGCCTTGGTTGAGGAGCAAAGTAGAGCCAGTTGGCCTTACTAAATGAATAATTTAGTTGGTAATATCAATGTTTTCTGCTAAAAAAACTTTAAAAGGTATCGAAAGATTCACTGAAATACCTTAAAAAAGTTTTATATATCTTTTTTGTTGTTTTAAATTGCCCTTTGAGTATTGTCACATCAATTCAGGGCTTCTGTGAAGATATGGCTTAGGTCGAAAATGGAGTATTCATATTTCTTGTAGGCAAATGCCATTTTTGTATTACTATTTGGACAGTCTAGAAATTGAAAAAAGGGCTCCTATATTTGGTCATGTCTTTGGGTTACAACTTTTCTTTTCTTTTCTTTCTTTCTTTCTTTCTTTCTTTTTTCTGTCTGAATTGGGAGTTTATCATGTATTTGGTGCATGGTGAATTTTGGATGATTAAGCGTTGTTGTGATCTTTGGCAGGTTATGTGACATCCTTTTTGTATATGAGAGCTTACTTTTGGTTATTTTTCTCAGTATTTGTCATGAATTTTAGATATGGATGTGTGTTTGTACAATTTTGATTTTTTTTCCTTTACTGGATTTGTTCTAGGTTTCTATTAGCCCTGTGATCTACAGGAGCAAGAGGAACTAAAACTGAAGACTGTGTTTTGTTGATTTGTAGTCAAAACTTCATATATTACCATTATTATGGAAAAAGAAACGATTGGTGAGAAAGATATTACTAATTCCTCAACTTCTGAAAAGCATGAGGAAGATGCAATAACTGTTCAGAGTGATAATCAAATAAAAATGTCAGAGGAGATGAACTCTCTAGAGATAAGAAAGAATGACTCCAAGTTAGACAAGGATAGTGAAGAATCTGATGCCGGTGAAAGTATTGACAAGAGCAGTGGCTTAGAGTCTAGATGTCAAGGTGATGATGTTGTGAAACATGATGACTTGAGAAAGGTGGGTGAGAATATGGATTTGGAGTCTAAATCTGTTGGAGTAAAGATAAACAATGATACCCAACATGTTGGCTCTGGTAACAAGATGGATGAAGTTGGTGATTTGGAGCCTAAAGCTGAAGAAGGAACAAAGCAAACACCAGAGGAAATTCTTGGTGAGCAGAAGGAGCCAGAGCCTGTTTTTGATGGAACAGAGGTTCCTGGGATGGAAGCCAACAGAACTACATCTTTCCATCCCTCAGACGCCGATCCTGAAGCTGAGGGATCTGCTTGGCCTGAGAAGGCTGTGGCTCTTAAGAATTTTGTCAAGGAGAAGGGTGCAGTTGCTGTCACCAGTGTTCTTCGTGTGCTTTCTGCAAAAAGAGATGAGGGGGAACAGGTTACTCAAGATGAAGAAGATAAGGAGGCTTCAGGTTTAACTAAAGAGAAAGAAGACAAAGAAATCACAGAAGTTTCTCAGAAACCAGTGGACAGATCTGCGTGGAATCCTCTCACCTATATTATGTTTTCTCGTGATGATGCAGAAAACAACATTGAGCAGGGGGTGGAAGGAAGTGAAGAACCACCACACCCTATAGCTATGAAAGGAAGAATTATACTGTACACAAGGTTAGGGTGCCAAGACTGTAAAGAGGTTAGGTTATTTTTGCATAGGAAAAGGCTTGGATACGTGGAGATCAACATTGATGTATACCCCAGTAGAAAGCTGGAACTAGAGAATTTTACTGGGTCTTCTACTGTTCCTAAGGTTTTTTTTAATGAAATTGTGATTGGAGGTTTGACTGAGCTCAAGGGCTTGGATGAGTCTGGCAAGCTTGAAGAGAAGATTAATTATTTGATTGCTGAAGCTCCAGCATCTGAAGCTCCTCTTCCACCTCTTTCTGGTGAAGATGATGTGTCCACTAGCGGCTCAATCGATGAACTATCACTTATTGTTCGGAAAATGAAAGAATCCATTGCTGTTAAGGACCGGTTTTACAAGATGCGGAGGTTCACCAACTGCTTTCTAGGTTCGGAGGCTGTGGATTTCTTGTCAGAGGATCAATACTTGGAGAGGGAAGAGGTCAGTTGGATCTTTTGCTTTTCCTTTTGAGACATGGAGAGTGCTAGAACCTAAAGATGTGTGGTACAGCTAATATCTTTCTGTTTGTGGCTTCCATGTTCCAATTGGGAAATATTCCACTTTCTTTGCATATATTTGTATATAATTGATGCCACTGATGCATGCTCTAAAATTCCTATGTTGAAAAGGATAAAAAATTTCTCATGGTGATATTATTTTTAAGCTTATCTTACACCTGCTCTTACATTATGAAACAGGCTACTGAATTTGGGCGAAAGCTTGCTAGCAAACTTTTCTTTCGACACATTCTTGAGTGAGTCCATTGGATATGCCTAAGTGTCTTTTGCACTGCTTATGCCTCACAGTGCTTTTGAAATCTCTTCATTGACAATTTTGACTTTTTTCTTAATGATGCTTAAAACTGCAGTGAGAACATATTTGAGGATGGTAACCACCTGTATCGGTTTTTGGACGATGATCCTATTGTGTCATCTCAATGCTACAATATCCCTAGTGGCATTGTTGAGGCAAAGCCTAAGCCCATAATAGAAATTGCATCAAGACTCAGATTTTTGTCTTATGCAATCTTTGAAGCCTACACATCAGTAGATGGAAAGCATGTTGACTACAGAAGTATTCATGGAAGTGAGGAATTTGCAAGGTTTGATTTATTTTAGTGCTATAAAATTTCTCACTTTGGCATCTTGATAGTTACGTGTTTTTATGCTTTCTCTTGTTTGCATTGATACTTTGTAGATATTTGAGGATAATTCAGGAGCTCCAACGAGTAGAATTGCAAGATATGCCAAGGGAGGAGAAGCTTGCTTTCTTCATAAATCTCTACAATATGATGGCCATTCATGCAATATTGGTGTTGGGTTATCCAAAAGGAGCACTGGAAAGAAGGAAGTTGTTTGGAGACTTCAAGTATGTGATAGGTGGGTGCACGTACTCTCTTTCAGCTATTGAAAATGGCATTTTAAGGGGCAATCAGCGACCCCCATACAATCTTACCAAGCCATTCAGCGTGAAAGATAAGCGTTCTAAGGTAAGAGAATCCAACATTTTTCTTGATAATTCACATTCACGTATTGCTTTTCCAGAATTCAAAATTTCTCAGGGCTATAAGACTGGTAATAGCTTTAGAGGGTTCTGCTTGCAGGGCAGTGTTATTTTGCTCTTTCTTTAGTCTTTATTATTTCTTCTTCTTGTTCTTCTTTTTTTTTTTTTAATTTTATGATTAGGTGGGGGATTGGGATGAGGAAGTGCAGGTAGTGGTTCTATTGTTTCTCCACTAAATGCAGATACCCAATTTGTATTTAACAACATCAAATTATGAATCAATCAGGCCAACAAGGATTTTTTTTTTTTAAACATCCATTTTGTAAGGGAGGAATGCAAAACAGAATTACAATATGGCAGAGAACAAGGATTTACTAAGGGAAAATAGTGGATGAACAAGGAACAGTGTTCTGTTTGGGATTTTATTCGTGTCATGACCAGTTATAATCTAATCTTTGTCAGGTGAGTTTTACCTATGCTGAGCCTTTAATCCACTTTGCACTGGTTTGTGGTACCCGATCTGGACCGGCCCTTCGATGCTACTCTCCTGGGGATATTGATAAAGAACTGATGGAGGCTGCTCGTGATTTCTTAAGAGGTGGAGGACTGATTTTTGATTTGAATGCTAAGACTGCATTTGTCAGTAAGATCCTCAAATGGTAAGTTCTAGTATAGGGTTTTGTCTGGTTTTTTTAAAATTGCTGTGTTTTCTGTTGGGTGATATCATCTCCTTGGTGGGCAGGTTTAGTGTGGATTTTGGCAAGAATGAGATAGAGGTACTCAAGCATGCATCAAACTACTTGGAGCCAACCAACTCTGAAGCTTTGCTGGAGTTGCTTGCTAGTGCTCAGTTAAAGGTGATGTACCAGCCTTATGATTGGGGTTTAAACAATTGAACTGCAGGTGTTAGCCCGGCTTCTCGTATACCATAGACAGGCTTTATAACATATACAGCTTCCCTTGTTATACTAACATTTAGTAGAAGGAAGTATCAATTATTATGCTTAAGCAATATGAATAAATACAGTTTAATGTATCAGCCAGCAAACAGCTGTGTAAAAGATTTTGCTTTCTTCTTGTATGATTATTGTGGACTTGAAACGGCTTTCTTATGTGTGCTTTTTTGTACTTCCTTGTTTCTTTTGCATTCGAATTATTATCCTCGACTGCAGATGGTTGGGTTTGCATAGAGTAGATTGATTGTTTTCCTCGGTTCTTGGTCAGAAAGGATTGTTCAAATTTATTTCGACTTGGACCGAGGGGTTTAGTTTTCTTATTTTAAGGCTTTGCTTCGCATGGGAATGACTGGGCCTAATGGAATATGAACACCAGATATAATTTGACTCGTCGAGACCGCCCTCAAAAAAGTACGCCTCCCAAAGTATAATTTGGCCGGGAATCGCAGCTTTGCACGAGGGCTACGCTCTATGAAATGATGCAAAATTACTGCTATCAGTTTATATATATATATATATTCAAAACAAAACTAATCTTCTAAGATTTGAACTACTGCTATCAGTTCTGTTGCATAAAGCACACAAAGAAAGACATACATATTTATACGGTGAGTTATAATTTATACATAAGCACCAGCCTACATATCTAATTATGTGGGCACACTTCATCATTTCCGAAAATTGGTACATTAAAAAACTGAGAATGAATCTCACACGCACAAAAACACAGAAAATATCATATTGATTTAGCTCCATGCAAACCAGACCAATTAATTATATAAATTGGAATTAATGCGATGGATCTAGAATAATCTGACTGGAATGGTCTTCGTAGGCGAAGTTTATTTAACAATTACTCTTACCGCCCTGACTCATTCCTGCCAAGATCTTGTATTTGTCTTTCCTTGTCAAACTGGTGCACTCGAACCCTAAAGACTCGGCAATCTCATTCTGCACATAGTTGGCTACTTCAAATCTTGATTTTCCACCAAGTCTATACGTTTCTGAACTTGGAACCTTTTCGAGAATCTTGACATTGCAAGTGGGATATGGATTTAATAACTGAAATACCGAGTCTAAACATTTCAGTCCAACGGCTGTTGATCCATAAAACATGCTAACCTGCACATCTAACGCAACAGGAACTATGTCATCACTCATTTCTGCAAATAACGGACTAAACCTTAGTTGGTAAGGCTCCCTGGAAGTGGTTCCTTCGGGGAAAAGAACAAGATCACCTTGGCTCAACAACTTGTCCATCGTTTTCGCGTCTTTTTCTCGGTCTCTTATTAATGAGATGGTCTTGATCGGTGCCACCACTGCGTTGAATTTATCCAATCTGTGGGTTGCTGCAGCGAGAGACGGTTTCAGGAGAGCTGCTGCAACATAAAGTGGATCAATCATCGTTCTGTGGTTGCATACGTACAGCGTGCCCCTTCGTTTCTCTTGTTTCTTGTTTGAGGTAGCCAAAGGCTCAGGTATTGACATTACACTTCTCATCCCCGATGAGGCCAAAATAGGAAAAGCCACCTTGTAAGGCAGCAATAGGCTAACAATTAATCGGGTGATGAAGAGGAAAAAGCCAAGAGGAATCCACATGAACATGGCTAGGGTGGCTAATGGGGTTGGCCTGAAGGCCAATCTTCCATCCTGAAAGATCAATGGCTTTGGGTATCTCTTTCTTGGAAGGACATGCCAATTCTTCTTTTCTGCATCAGTCACCCAGTAAACCTCCTGTTGCAAAGCAAACTTGTAATGAAATTTGTTACATTATAGAGAAAATAAAGAGTATTAATTTGTGTGTGTTTTACAGAATTCCAGGGGTTGACAAACCTCGCAATGTGTAAAGAGTTGTTCATCCAGAAAGAAGCTGAAGGAACCAAAAGCAATAGCATGAGAGCCCATTATTTTCTCCCCAAGACGCTCATTTAAAGCTACAGCACCAGCCTTTTTATCCTCCATTAGACCAACAAAATATCCATTAATCACTTTTAACTCTCTTCCCACTACAGCCTCAATGCTTAAATAATCTTTTAAAAACCCTTCAACCATAACTGTAGGTAAATCACTCACTGCTATCTTTTTCCCACAGCTCATAACGATATCGAAACCTTCACGCCCAACATCCTCTAGGAAGAACCTAGGCAAAACAGCAGTCCCAACTCTAAACTTGTCCTTCCTAATCCCAACAAAACATACAAAAACCATGATCTTAAGCCCCATTTCCTTACCAACCAACCAAACTAAAGGGTACAGAAGAAACAACAGAACAGATCTAAAGATCCCTCCTGCAGCTTCAAAGGCCACTGGCATAAAGTATGGAAACAGTGAAGAAGATCTAAGCAATGCTCCTTCCAGGTGAAAAACCAATGTTTGGTTTGAAAGCTGTCCTGATCTCTGCACAAGAGAGATATATTTCTGAAATTTCACTGGTCTATCGTGGATAGCATTACTAATGGAAACATTATTCCACCTGAAAACATCTACGTTCCTTGGCAATCTAAATGGGATTTCAGACAAGAAGGACACTAAAGGTTTCATGGGGAATGACTTTCTAGCCATCTTTACTTACTTTTCATATGTATCGACTTGGTTGCATGGGGCTATACGGCTTTAAGAGTTTCATCTACCAGGTAGGCCTCACTCAAGTACGTATACTAGCTAGCTAGCTGTAGTTATATGTATGTTTTGATGCATATATAACAGCTAGATTCTGTGAATTCATTTAATTTTTCTCAGTACAAGGGGCAGGTTTGGTTTTGGAAGGGGAGAGAATGTTAGTCCATGAACTAAATTATGAAAGTAATCTCTCTAATGAAGTGGGGAGGCAAATGTTGCTGACGAAACTTTCAACACGAAAAGCTGGACACGAACGTACTGATCAATGGCAGGGAGCTGTGTAACTACATTCAAAATTTGAGGATATAATTCCTGATTTATTGTTCGTTTGTTTCCAATATTGGTGTTGTCTGCCTATCGTGATATCAATCTTTTTCCAGTTTTATGCTGAACTTAAATTGATTAGTCAATGTGAAAATTAACAATAGAAGAAATAATATTTGATTTTAAGAATTCTATTAAAAGCATAATATAATATTATTGAGGATCTGATGAACTGTGAAATATAATATTAGCTATCTAGTGTATCTCTGGTTAAAAATGACAATGAATCGAATATAAAAAAGACATCTGTTTTATCTCAATTTAAAAAATACTATTAAAAATGTTCAATAAATATTATAATAATATATATATACGCTTTAATATAATTTCAAGATATAAGTATTAAAATAAGTAAAGATAAAAAATTGAATTAATAAGTCAATATCTAGTCACTGCCGTCTCTATCCACAGCCATCCTTTAACAACACAGATGGATTTCTCTTGTTTAATTAGTTTATCAACAACAACAACTAACAATAATAAATAAAAGGTTTTTCGGTTTATTGGGCGGAGAGAATTTAATGTCAAATTCCGATGGATTATAGATTAGTAGCGAGCAATATTTTCACCAATTAAGCTAATTAGCTAGAGCCACTTTTTTTTATCGTTTTAATTGTAAAATATTTTTATTATTATTAAATTTAAACTTATTTGTTTCTATGACATTCATCTTTAGCTCCTGTCATGTAGTAGCTTTTTATAAATAGATCTTCCCATTCATTAAAAAAACAAAAAAAAATTAACCTTTAGCTGATAACATTTACTTGGATAACACTTCGCCTATTTCATCAAATCTTCTGCTCTTTTACCTCAAATAAATCGTTTTCTTTGTTTTTCAAGCCGTTTAAAAAAAATTATTAATTATTATGTTCTATCAGTTTTTTTAATTTATATTTTTCTAAAATATATATTTTTTAAAAATTATTAGTTATCAAATTTAATCTTGCATTACATAGAATCAATAAAATTGAGGGAGAAAATCTATCTAAAATTAAGATGGTAAATAAAAAAAATTACTAAGTTAATTAACGGTCAAATATAAAAAAAAGTTTATGAAAAAAAAAACAAATTGATGAGAATATTTTACTTCTAAAATTTCAACATGCATTAAAATTCTTATAAAAATGAATATTTTTTATGTGTAAGAAATTTTTGCTTTAAATTTTTTATATTAAAAGTATTTGTATGTGCAAAGAAAAGAAAAGGTATAAAAAGTATTGATTTTTTATTAATGAAGAACAAAACATATATATAAAAAAATGATTTTATTTACCAATTAATATATATTATTTAAAATTTTGACTAAACACATATTTTAAATAAATATAAATTGAAAAAGGAAAATCTTTAAGACTAATAGTAGATTTATTATTATCGGCCCGCTTTCTGAATCTCCAGGCCATGCTTTGTCTCTTTTTCTTATCTAAAAACATAATAAATACAAAGGCGAGAGAGGGTGACAACGACAGCTATTATATAGATACAGGTGAGCTTGGTAATGAAGATACATGTGCATTTGCGATTAGTCATGCTCAAGCATGAAGTTTTCTGACACAATACCTAAATATTCAGTACAAGAAGGAAATAGAAACTCACATGTTATTGAAAGTTGCAGCAAATTAGCTCCGATAATATTTACAAGTTGCTTGAATTTTAACTCAAAATTATATACGTACCAGGATCTTAGACGTTTAAGCTGAAGTTTACATGCTGTTGAAGATTGCAATTTGCAACCTCAGGCAATAAATGGCCATGTCCACAAAGTCAATATTTTGTGGCTAAATGAACTTGAATTCATATATTGTAACCCGACAATGGAAGAACATACAGGCTTGCTGATTAGATAGCCAAGACTTTCTTTGGAACTCATCTGCGCATCTCCATATCTTTTATTTTCTCAGGCAATATACAAGTAACTTTTTTTTTTCTTAATTGTAAATATAATAAAGTAAGCTATCTGGAGCATCTGAAATTATGATGAAGTATGCATCTATAACACAGGAAGGATGTAATGCAACAACACTTCTACGACATTCCATCCAAATTCGTGTTCCCAAAAAAAAAAAAAACTCTGCTTTTCCAGGCACGGCTTGAAATTAGAATTCCTGGTAGCGCTAAAGCATCATCAAATATAAGTTGACTGGAGTCATTCCCCTCTCCCGCCAACCCCCTGACACTCAATCTTACAGATGGACCCTGGTATCTTCATTACATGCATCAGAATTATTTAGCGCAGTCGGAATCGATGGTCATCATCAATGTCTCCTGTGGCTCAACTTCTTCAAAGGAGAAGATCAACCCACTCTTGTAATTAATTTCATGCAATCCTTTATGTTCAGCAAGTTTGTTTCTCATAAAGTTTTCTGAAGAATGATACACCAATTTGACTTGTCAAAAAATCGATCAACTACTACTGCATTTTTCATTCCAGATACCAACCTGAAAAAATGATGCCAAAAAAATTAAAAAAATTACAAGCATGAATAGTATGTAAACCAAACAAACACAAACATGTAACAGAAGAAAGGTGGAGGATGCTAAACAAATTGTCTTTGCATACATATGCATACAAATGAGAGCAAAATGAGGGCACTAACAGTTTGAATGGTTGAAAAATTATATGCATCATCATCATCAATATCATCGGAAATGAATGGATGACAATAAAAAATATCACTTATCACGAAGAAGCGAAAAAGAAATATATTCATTCTAAGAGTAAAAAGTAAACTATAATATATAAAGAAGACAAGCATTACCTTTCGAGTTCACCTTCACTGAAGACGTGGTAATATCTGTTATACACCACAGCACCTTTTTTATCATCCTTCTTTGCCAGGCCATTTGCAAGAGCACATGCTGATGCACCACTGACTTCAGCCCTATGATAAGGTAAGTGCCAAGGGACAAAATACTCCTGTTGATTTTGTACACTGCTATCATCTTTAGAAGTCAAAAGCACAGTTCCCCCGAACTTGTGGCCTGGACTCTCGGTATCCTTTTCATGCTCCTTTGAATTATTCTCGGTTTCAGGGATGCTTTCTAATGTAATTGATGAAGGGCTTCGGACACGAGGGCTACCTGGTCCTATCCACTCTTCAACATACTTTTGGCTAAGGGGAGTCCATTTTGTAACCAACAATTGATCCTCCTGTTCTACAGCCCAAACAGTTATTAGAACCAGACCACCCTTTTTGACAACTCGAACTAATTCATCTATTGCCTTCTTCCTCCTGTTCTCTGTACTTAGGTGATGTAACACTGCTATAGATATTGCTGCGTCACCAAAACCAGTTCTGTAAGGAAGATTTACTGCATCTGCAACAAGAACTTCATGCCCTCTATCTGCACAAATTTTGATAAGTGGTTCACTTATATCACATCCTACAAAAGTGCAATCAGGATTAAAACCCAAGTACTTCCCATTTCCACATCCTGCATCCAGTACAAGAGATCCTGAAGGTAAGGAGTTCAAAAAGGTGGCAACTTTTGGCCATTTGGCAAACCTGGTGGAACTAAAATGAGGTGCAATGGCATCATAAACACGATGCACATACTTCTTTTCTATTTCAGGGGTGGACTGTACAACTGATAATGAACCTGTCTCTTCTTCGACTAATGACGTAGATCGTTGGACATGAGATTCTCCATCAGATGCAAGATTATGCAAACTAGACAAGCCTTTTACTTTGATTTCTCTCATAGGTTTAAATATTCCAGGATGAGAGATGCCACAAGATACGAAAATGGGTAGAGTGAAGGCCTCCCAATTGGCTTTGGAGATTCTATTCAATCTTGTAAAACAAAAGACCATCAGCTCAAGACACACATTTCAATTAAACAATATCCTGCACAAGGCCAAGAAAACTGCATGAAGATGATTTAAAAGTTACAGTTAGTTTAAGATTGACCACGCCGGCACACAGTAATATTTTAAATCTATCAAGCTGCATTTTCTTCTCACATAAGAGCTACCAGCCCATTTAGCATATCCCCAAATTTGGTTTTTTTGGCAAAAAAATGTTACTTCAAACAAATTATAAACTCTATTTACCCGGACCTTTATAAACAAAACCATTAATCTCTGAAACCAACAGACTCAGATAACTTAAAATTAGAATCACAAATCTAATTAAAACAATCAGATTTCTATGATCCAATTATATTATCAAGAACAGAACAGAACAGAACAGAAAAATAAAAAAATTTAAATCAGGTTAAGCAATTCATTTCCAAATGAATCATATGTTTAAGGCGTCATTGACTCTATAAAAAACAAAACCATAGCCACGGTCGATATCTAGGACGGTATGGGAAGCTAAAAGTTACTCTCCGCAGAAATTGAAAATAACTATGCACAAATATAGAAGAAAATCGACAAGCGTAAAGAACGAATTCATGGAGAGATAGGGAGGTTACCTGATTGAACGGATATGTCGTGAATATTATTTGCAGTAATGATTTTTAGGGTTAGGGTTTTGGGAGAGGGAGCGTGTTTACTATGGGTTAAAGGACCTCGTTGGTCCCTCTACTGTTGAAATTTTGTTGATCCAACCCCTCGTTAGGTCAATTTCTTAACGCAGTCCTTGAACTTCATAATGTTTTATGACGTGTACCTGCCGTCCAAGTCCTAGAACCAGGCTGCCGCCGCAAGCGGGTTGGTATGCCAGTAAGTGAGTTTTTATAAAGCGTTCATTTATAAAATTTATAATTCACATCTTACTTGCATCAGTTTGTAGTTTCTGGCAATATTTATTCTTTTGCATATGATGATAATTATTTATAAAAAAAAATACTAAATTTTAATCCCCACATAATACAGTTGAAATTTTTTTAAATAAAAAAATAATATGATATAAACGTAGTATTTTTTACTAAAAAAAATATAAGATTGCTTACCTATCTTTTCATTAAAAAAAAAAGCTATCATTTCTTTTTAGTTAGCTTTTTAAAAAAGCAACACATGAGAGAAAAAGAAAACAAAAAAGGGACATGGTGCGAACTATACTAAGTGGATCCCAATTTTTTTAACACATAGATAGATTTAGTTAAATTTAACGTTTGACTTGGATGGAAACTGTTGGAAGGATCACGTCCTTAAAACACACAAGACTTGAATTGATACATTGAATGGAAGAGGATTTGGTTCAAAAAATTTATAATTTTAGGGACCAATGAGATGAGGTCATATCACCATTTCGTTTGACTACGAAGAGGACGGGCCTATAATGAGCTAGTTGAACTCTTCTGTCTATGGCCGTTAGATTGGAGATTTATGACTTCAACTGCTCCTCCGTGTCGGTGATCCCTTAATCATGGTTTCTAGTTCATTTTAATTATGTAAGTCCCTCTATTATATAAAAAGCTCAATTGAATATCCAAAGAAATATAATTTTAACTGGGTCTATAATTTTTTTTTCATTTTTAATTATACCCCCTCTATACTCTTATTATTTTTTTTTTTTTGGTCTATAAATTCCGTCTAAATTTACAATTTATGCAATAAAAGAAATGCGTTTTAGGGGTTTTATAGTAAAAGTATGTCCCTCCATCCATGTTTCATCATAGGGCAAGCCCAAACTCTTGCAGATCACCACACTCCTGGTAAAGCTTCTTTCTAGTTGGTCTGATATTTGGATTTTATTGAACCTACGCCCACTTGGGGTTTTTTTGACCTTTCTTTCTTGGACTTTGTACTTCCCTTGGTTGGGGCCTCTAAACTTGTATGTGTTTGGGCTTGCTCTATGGCGAAACCAATTTACTTCTAATGGAAAGAAAAAAATAAGAAATAAAAACGCAACAAAAGAAATGCTTTTTTGAAGGATTTTTAATGTTTCTATTAAAATGGGATGGCGATTTTGGTATAAGAGTATAATTGATCATTTTATGTTTTGTGGAAAAAAATAAAAATTCAATTGAGATCGGCTGCACAGTACATAGTGAATAAGTCAATGAGCTAGTTTAATATTTATCATAATTTTTCTTGCGACTCTATAAGAATTTACAGTAATGCAGAGATGGAACTTTCTAAATTGTGGACTTTTCCAGTTTTGTAAGTGGAAATCATTTGAGATTACAAAAGATGGTTGGGTGTACTGAAAAGGGCACATCATCTCGTTCGACATGAACAAGAAATAGTTTGCGATTGTAAATAAATAATGTTTGAATAGAAAACACATTTTTCGATAGAATCAACAGTTTCCATTAACCAAATTATTCACCAAGCACTTTATAATCTTTTAAGAAGGTTCCTTAAAAAAAATTCTACGCAAGATTTTTTGGTCGGTATCGATCGTCATCAAAATATAACACGAAGCAAATGCTTGCTTTCCTGCTCGACGTCTCCTGCAAGACTGTGCCACGAAAGTTTATTCAATTCCCAATAACTCTATTCTCGAAGGAAAAAAAAAAATACTCAACCTTTTAGGTCCATCTAGCTACCAGATTTCCACGTGCACTCGAGGGATATTGCTTGCCAAATTACCCTATCTAACGCCCAAAAAAAGAGTATTTTGACTTTTTGCCAGAAGAAAAAAGAACTAGGAATCCATGCCAGGTGGTAAAGAAATTAGTTTAAGGAAAAAAAAACGTCTGGAGAACTCGAATAGTGAATAGTTTCTGTTCATAAGCTTCAGTTCCTAAAACCCTTATCAGAGGTTTTACAAACAACAGGCGATGTTGCACTCTGCCTTCAAGCTATCAAGAGCAGCGACGGCCACCGTGGCTCTAGCAGCCCGGTTGGGACTAACCTCCTTCAAACCATCTTCATCACCGCCGTTTAGATTGATCCATGATAGAATCATCAACGGTCCAAACGCAAACCCAGTTGCTCTTCAAATGATTGACTACGCCCTCTCTCTTGCCAAATCCCAAAGATCAGGTTTCTTTCCATATTTCTTCATAATTTATCTCTCTCATTTTATTCCCCTTTTAATTTGTGGATTGCTTCTGCAGATGAATCGCATGCACAAGCTATGTTGGTCTTAGAGCAGTGCCTCTTTTCTCAATCAAGTGAAAACCAAGATGTTGTTACCCATAATTCAAAGGGATTGGTCCTGCTTGCCATGTCTAGCTTATTATTTGCAAGGTTTTTCATTTGTCCCCCTTTTCTATTTAATTTGGCTTATAATATTGATTTTGGTATGTTGGAAATGTTATATTTATTTTTATTCTGGTGTTATTTAGAGGAAATTATGATGATGCAAGTGAAAAACTGCAAAATGTTCAAGATTTAACACACTCTCACTTGGATGTTAGAGGTGGGTAATTGTGTCTTTTATTTATATTTCTTGCTCTTACAATTAAAATTGGCTTGCTGAATTTTGGTTTTGAAAAGGGTATTGAGTGGAAATACCGTTTTTGTTCTTGTTCTTGTTGTTATAGTTGCTGCCATGGAAGCACTTGTTGGACTCAATTTAGAGTTGGGGAATGTAAGTTTCTTTTAAAACTATATATATATTTTTTTTACAATAAATCGGTTTTCTATTTAAGAGTTAAAAAATTTATCTGGAGACGGTTGTCCCTTATATAGGATGATACTTCATCAGTGCTCGCAGATAAATGCTTAGAACTCTTAGGAAAAGTTGAATCGAAAAATAGTGGTGAGGACTCTGAGGTTGCAAGTGCTCGAGCTAAAGCAATTAAAGGACTGGTTGAGCTTGCCCAAGGCAATCTTGAATCAGGTTGATGTAAATCCATTGCTAGATTTTAGTTTCTTTTTGCTGTTGCTCTTGCTTGTATCGTTGTTGAATTTTGGGCTGCGTCTGTCCAGCTGAACCAAGCTTCCAAGGATTTCAGGACAATGAGGGCTGCATTGGTAAGCATTATTTTGTTTTTAAGAGATTTTAGTAGACAATTGCAGACTGCATTCCGATGTTTTGATGTATAGGAAATGCTGCTTTATCGTATGGAGAATTCTTGCATGCCACGAGAAACTTTTCACTGGCGAAGGACTTCTACCAGAAGGTTATTGAAGAGGTGGCTAAAAAGAAAGACTTTACAAGCATCCATACCATAGCAGCTTGTAATATGGCTTCAGAGGAAGTTTTGCTTGCAGCTACCTGTGCTTTGGGACAGCTTGAGGCGCACATGGGGTAAGCTTAGGTTGCTTGTATGCCCTTAATTGGCTATTTCCTTTTTAATTCTGTCTTTTTATTCCATATAACACATATTGGTTTCAGGAACTTTGGCAATGCAGAGGAGACATTGACTACTGCATTGAACAAAGCAGAACAACTTTTTGGTGTGCTATTTTGAATTTGTCCTTTTAATTGCATTGGTTTGGAACTTTCTGGAGTTTATCTATGGATCTATCAGAATTCTCTATGGTTTTATTGATGTTGTGTAGGCTCTCGTCATCCCAAGGTGGGTGTAGTTTTGACCTGCCTGGCTCTCATGTTCCGGCATAAAGCAAAACAAGAGCACTCAAGTTCTCTTTTAATACAAGAGGTCAGAACCTTACCTTAACCATAGAAATATTGTTTCGAATTTTAAAATTTCAATATCTGCCCTTCACCTCATTACCTCACCATCAGTTGGTCGTCGTTGTTTAAAATTATATTTTGGTTGATTTTGGATCATTTATCTCATCAAGGAAGTTAGAGTTCAAGTAGATTTTGGATCTAGGGGACCATCATGGTAGAATACTATGATTAATTTTGGAAAGGTTATGAGACATAAGCCAATGAAAATCGAACTCTTGATAGATAGATTGATAGGTAGTGTGAGATTAATTTCCCTTTAGATCATTGAGAACCTCACTTTAGTCTCTTGATTATTTCTCTCCCCTTTTTTTTTTTTTTTTGAAAAAAAAGAAGGATTCATCATGTTCATTTATTGACTGAAGTGGTCGTGTAAAAATTTGTATAACGTCAGTTTTGTTATGTCACTGTAGTTTATTCAAGTTTTCACACTTTGCAATGGTTTTTGGTGTTACATCATTGACAGGGTCTTTATAGAAGGGCGATGGATTTGCTGAAAGCTCCACCACTGGACTTCGAAGGTATATTAAGTTGATCATTTCCTCCCTCATTCAACAAGAGTGCTCAGTTTTTCTTTTAATTGCACAGGTAACAGAACGATGAGAAGTAGGATGGATATCATTGCCCTTGCAAGAGGTATTGACTATGTAACTGTTTTGGTGTGCATTTTGAAATTTTTTTTGGTACTGATATGAATATCATGCCAATTGTCCTAGTTAACCAATTTATCAAGCCTAACCTTCTTATTCACTTCTTTGAAGCCTAGAATGATGTGGCCTCTGCTGTGAATGTTGTCCCTACACAAGTATTTCAGACATTATACCTTGTTACCCTGACATGGGTTTTGTGCCTGTAAGGTGGATAGGTGTTCTAAGTTTTTGCGTCTATTCTGGAGGTGGTCTCGTTATCTGCTAGGATTCTAGGATGTTTCAAGAGTGTTTTGTGCATGGGGTGGACAGTATCTGATGTCTGGAATTGGTTGGCTGGGTGTTTAATGTGGAGATAACCACAATTTCAGTTTTTCTATGAGCTCCTTCAATTTTTTTCCTATTTGAGTTCTTTTGCTTTTCAGAAAGATCATATAAGTGCATTCGTTCCATAAAGACTTTTTTATTGCTAGTGTGGCAGTACTTTTGAGAGGGTATTTTCAGAACAAAAGCATCTCATTGATTGTATTTTAAAAGTACTGGGGAAAAAAATAATTTATAAGCAAATGAACTCATAGAAATTCTGATAAAATACAGGCACCAAATTGTGTTTTTTCTTTTCTTTGTGGTTAATGGATCACTTTGTTGATCGATTCTGTAGGTGGCTATGCAGAAGCACTTTGCATTCAAGAAAACAGAAGAGGTGAAGGAGAAAAAATGAAAAGGTGGGCTGAGACTGCATGGAGAAACCGCAGCCTTTCGCTATCCGAGGCACTGAAAATCTCAGAATCCTCAAACAGAATGCCTGTTGTAGATGCTCGAATAGGTAGAGCCTTGTAGTTTCACTTTCATGGAAAAACAGTTCATTGGTGATTCGAGGTACGCGGCAGGGATATTTGAGAAGCTGCTCCAAAGGCAAAAATGTATCACCTCCATGTTGGGGCATGCGTGTGCTTTTGATGAGATATCCGCATCAGCTCGTTAAACAATCCCTAGCGAATAATTTTTCTTTCTTTTTTAATAGGATTGTGGTGCGTTTGCAAATGTATGAGATTTCCCTCTCTTTCTGTACAGTATAAATAAAGACTGTGAAGACTGAAGCGATCTTTGTTATGTAGAAAGGTCTACTGTGATGCTTATGGTCATGGAGCGTGATGCCAGAATATGGTGTACATTTTAGGTTCTTGACTGGTTTGATTTTGATCTTCTGATGGACATTGAATTGAAGCGCGTGGACATATTTGACCACGCATCTGAACTTTTATAACCACACTGCCATTCCCGTGTGAAAAAAATGACGTCGAGATTAAAGAAAATCCTTAAAGAAGCGTTCATACCGTTTGACCGCGTTTTGTATCGGTTTAGGGCGATGAACTCTTGCGAGGCGCAACTAAACAATTACCGTTCATATTCTTGAGTTAAACCGACTTGAAAGTGAAGCTTGCAGTTCACCCAGGAACAATTGAGAAGTACGAAGAAGAGCTTCCCACATGGAATAGAGTGTCAACTCTTGTGTGCGTAAAGTTTACATGCGCGAGGAATTATTCAGATTTTTATTTTTTTGAACCTTTTACAAAAGCACGATTTATAAATTATCGTCGTAACGGTTCCAATTTTTTTTCTTTCAAAAATCGAGTACCATTTCTGACGTACCTAATAATTTCTCCAAATGGGCTTCACGTCTAATATTCATGAATTTGCTAGGTTTCGTGCCCTTGTCCTATACTTGGACTTAAAAAGAAAAACATGTTTTCTGTTAACAGTCTATGTTCATGAGTTGGGCTATTAAAAGCCCAGAAGAGTTAGGCAAGCTTCCAAAGTTGGGAAGTCAAGCGTTCGGTTTATCACGTGTGAGGATTAATCATACGAAACATTTTTTTATTCTTGATATTTTTTTTAATATGGTTTTTTATTCTTAATTTCTTAATTTCATCTTCTTTTTTTTTTAATTTTTTTTATAACTTTTTTCATGATTTTTTTATCAGTTTTTTGAATAAACGTAACAGCTAATAAAAAATTTGACACGAATAATGTATTATCAAGTGGCAAAAAAAAATCAATTAATTAATTAACTGAAAAAAATTATTTAGGTATAAAAATAAAATGGAAAGAAAATTAAAAAAAATAATAAAATTTAAAACTTTCTGGGGAAAAGAACTGAAGAATGAGTTGATTAACTTGGTTCTCATCAAATAAGCCTTCCTTCAGTGCATTACATCGAGATCGACTTGGTTCGTCCTCGAGTTTCCTTCATGTGACGAATTTTTTATTTTTTTAAAAAAAAGATATATATATATATATATATATATATATGTATATTTAAAACTTCTTTAATCTTCCTGTGCTTCGGATTTCTTGATCTATGGAATCCAGAGAGTATGGATCCTGCTTGCTACCATATAATCTTCATCTTCAATCGGCCATTTGAGAGAAGAATTCAATACTTGATGCCATTTCTTTCATTCTGATGGTAAAAGCACGATATTAGCGAGCAAATTAGAGAGCTTGGGTGCCAGCTTAACTTTTGTAGCCTTCATTGTTTCGACAGACTCCCAATCTTTAGCTGATTTAACATAGTCATTCAGCTATATATTTCTCAAAATAGATCTTCTCCACATCGTGTTGATCTTTTTGAATCTACGCATCAATGCACATATCTTTCCACTGAATTCTTTGATTTTGGTATGAATAGTCGGCTTCCGATTTCAGGTAGAACAAAACTTGACCCCTTTTCTTTTCAATTTCTCAACTTTCTTCACCCCATTCGTCACTTTCACATAACCTTCACTTCCAGGCACTAATTTTTCCATATCTTCTTCTGCATCTCCTATGTGACTGGTCGAAGAAGGCATACCTGGTTGTTCCGGTTTATTAACATCACTTCCTTCTTCGTTATCTCCCTCCTAAGATGAAGAGAAGAAAACAATAGAAGGGTTTGGTTTTCGAAAAAAAAAATCTTAACTTTTATTTATTTAATTTCCATTCCATTTTGTTTCTATACCTAAAACATTATTTTTTCTTCTTCTTTTTTTCAACTGTTTTTTTTTCAATTTTTATGACGTCTAATGTAATAATTTTATCTAACATTACATTATATATATCAAATTTTTTTGTCATATGTCACGTTTCTTTGAAATTTTGATTTAAAAATTATAGAAAGAAACGCATTAAAAAAATTAAAAAATAAAAAATAGAAAAAATACGTTAAAAAAATAAAAATACATTCCATGTGATTAATACATTATATGAGCCCCGTCCTTAATAACATCTTCAACCCATGTTCAATCTCAGGGAGGAAGATCGAGGTTGCCTTTCACGTTTTTTCTTTGCCTTATACATGCGAGTAATCTGAAAACTCCCAATCCTACAGTGGAAATCTTGCAAGGATTTCTTTATGTACACTCGTACAGTAGTGACATTGTAGAGTTGGAAAGTTAACACCCAATCAAATTCTGCTTTGAAAATTACGCGTAGAATAATACCAGGTCTAGCATTCCATGTTCTCGCAATCCTATAGTAAATCCAAGAAAAGGACCTTCAAATTCCACTTCCATAATTAGGAAAAAGGGGAAATGAACTCCAATAATGCATGAGAAGGCCCATCCTCCATTAATATACCTCCGGACATCGGGTAGACTTTGTAAAGTTAGCAGTGACATCGATGGTACGGGTTATTTTGTGGAAATTAGACTTTTCCAAGTGCGTATGAGCCAATGTTCTATAGTGATAAGGATCGTGTGTCTGGAAAATCAGCTGTTCGCCTGGAAAAAAGAACCATGAGATTCAAATTTTAGTGCAAAATTCATATCCCCTTATATGTCGCTTGCATGTCTGTCAGTCTGAATTTCATTTTCATGAAAAGGGCACGGTTTTTATAATGACAGATTCACAATGTCTCTTAGTTCCCGGGATATACAGGATCAAGGTAATTGAAGTTGCATAGACAATGTGGGATTCGAACCCAATTTCTATTGTTAAAAAGAAAACTCGTTTGGTTAAGCATCGAAGTATTCCATTGTGATGTGATTTGTTAATGCTTGTAATTTGTAATGCTGCGAAGAATACAAATGCTTTGCAATCCATGTGTATTTATTAAAGACGGAAATATCACGTTAGAATATAATCATTTGTTATTAGAATATTCTTCCTGATTGCATCTTTATATATATTCGCTCTATATATTTATAAGGTAGATCATATCATGTATAGAATTATTAATGACTCTAATATTTAGGAATTGTAATTCATTGTATATATATATTTTCCCTTTGTAAGCAAATAGGATAACGGTGAAGTTTATTTACATTTTCATAGTATCGAATAAGATTCATAACCTAGTAAGATTCATAACCTATTTTTTCTTTTTTTCGATCACGATGACCGATTCTATAAGTGGTACTAAAGATGATTTTTGTCCATTGTGAATATGTCAAATGTAGCAATCAATACCAAGTTTTTATTCTATTTACATCTCTCAAATTATTTTGGTTTAATATTTGTTACACAACCTCTAAGTGAGAATGGAGATAACTATTTCACTTGGAGAAATGACCTTTTCAACACTCTCCAATCCAAGAACAAAGCATTGTTCGTGGATGGATCAATAAATACACCCAATGTTAATTTTGGGGATTTTTAGTCTTGGATGTAATGTAATGCACTAATAAAATTGTGGCTAACCAATTCTATTTCTAAAGAATTGCAAACATGTGCGGGACATGCCAACACGACCAGTGAAATATGAGGTGATTTTAAAGAAAGATTTACTCAAGGGATTGCACCCGAGTATATGAATTAAAACACAAAATTGCATTATTACAACCAAAGAAATTTGCTTTATCTACATATTATGGAAAATTAAAAAGTGTGTGGGTGAATTGCAGTGTCTTAGACCTATACCGCATGTACCGTGAAGCTACCGTAAAGATGGAGATGATGAGAAAAGAAGAGAAAGTATTTGATTTTTTTATAGGACTCGATGAAGATTACCAAACGATTCAATCTCAAATTTCGAGTATTGAGCCTTTACCACCACTTGGGAAAGCTTATGCTATAGTAGCACGAGATGAGAAACAAAGGCATATCATTGATGTTAGAATGCTTGGTCCGGAAGCCATAACATTAATGGCAAAATTACGGATGAATGAACATAGACAAGCCCGTCACCATGAAAGGGGTGGAGGTCATCTTTATTGTAGTCACTACAATCGTGACAATCATAGCAGAGAGACTTGCTAATGTATTACATGGGTATCCATCGAGCAAGAGAAAATCAAGGACACAACGAAGAACAACCATGACCATAAATTATAGATATAGTAGATGTGGTGTCGACATCAAGAGCAAGAAGAACGGATCAAAATAATGCCTTGGGTCATCGTATTTTTCCATTGGCCCATTTAGCGGACTTGTCCGCATCTCGTGCTTCTTTTCTTGGACTAGCATCAAACAATTCCTTGGGTTAGCGACATATTGCATTAGCCCATCTCGCAAACTCATCTTTCGCTCGCTCCCTTAGATCAGCAAAAACTCTTTCTAAGCTAGCTTATTTTACTAATTTTGATCATTCATCTCACATTAGCACATCCCAAGCGGATGTCATAATTCATGCCAACCCAAGTTTAGCAGCTTTTTCAATTTTTGGGCCCTATATCTAGGTTTGTCATTGGTTCATCATCTAATATGGTTTCATAAAAACTTTTTAGTAAGCCGAATCATGGATAATTGACACTGTGAGCAACATATCATATAGCTTGCATCACCGATTTTATGATCGATACTTATCTAGATCCCCGCCTCTCTTCGATACAAATTCCTAATAGAGATTGCATCCTAGTTAAAGCTTTGAGATGAATAAAACTTGATCATAATTTAAGACTTGATCAAGCCTTCAAAGTGCCTAATTTTTGTTTTAATTTATTTTTAGTCGATAAATTAACATAAGATCTTAATTGTGTTTAAATTTTTGGATCAAATTTATGTGATACGAGACTCATCCTCGAGAAAGCTAATTGGAGTAGGTAAAGCGAAAAATAATCTATACATTTGGAACCAACGGAGGCAAGAAAGGTACTTATGGCAAAGGAAAATAACATGTAAACTTTATGACATCGTCATCTAAGCCATTTACCAATTCATCGGGTTTCATTAGTTTCAAACTTTTTGGTAATGATTGACTCATTGAAGAATTTTTTTTGGTGATGCTTATCGTAAGGCTAAGCAAACTAGACTTCCTTTTCTAATGCACATAAATAAATTTGCAAATAATTTTAATTTGGTGCATTGTGATATCTAGGGTACGTACCATACTCCGACCAATTCGGACTCATATTATTTTCTCATTATTGTTGACAACCATAGTCATGCCACATGAGTCTTTTTCATGAAGCATAAATTAAAGACATGATATTACCTTTTACTCTTTTTAAGTTGGATACAAGCACAATTTAAGGCCAAAATCAAGGTCTTCCATACTAATAACGATCTTGAATTCACTCACTCTATTTTGATGAATTATTATTTTGAGCATGGAATGGACGGATAAATGAGTTATACCGACACTCTTTTAAAAAATGGTGTGGTTAAATGCAAGCATCGACATCTTCTAGAGGTCGCACGAGCCTCACATTTTTAGGCCAATCTACCGATTAGTTTTTGGAAATGATGCATTTTGATTGCAAACATACATGGTCAATAGAATACGAATTTATGTTTTACAAAATAAGACTCCTTATGAAATTCTATTTGGTTAACTACCCAATTATGATCATCTACAAAGTTTTGAATGTCTTTATTATGGACATAGCCATCATAAGCCACCCGACAAGTTTTGTTGCTCGCAGAGAGCCATGCATCTTAGTGGGCTACCCACACGAACAAAAAGGATACCAAATTTATACTTCATACGACGCATATTTCCTTGAGGATATTTTTCCATTGCATAATTCATCTACTCCTTTTATGGATTCTCACAAGTACACATATACCTTCTAGGCTACCAAATTAGAATGGTCCCGATGTTTGACCTAATGACCATTCTATTCCACCGATATCTCATGACATTGTATGGATTGATAGGCCAACATCAAATTCTTCATCAACTCGTGACACCTCTAGTTTCGGGCCATAATATACATTCCAACTCACATTAAACAATGGTTCAAGGATCACATTTTTACCAACTTCAAAGGCCATAATCATCGGGTCCTCATCTATCTCACGGTCTATAGACTCTTCACAAATGAATGCATCCACCATAAACAATGCTTACTCTAATTCTAAACCGACAATAGCATTGGAGAACACTTTTATTAAGCACTTTCCCACGAACACCAATCTTTATCACACCAATTGGACTCCTCCATTCTTGAGTCTTCCAAAATTCATCCTTCTTGAGTCGGATCTTTGTCCAAGAATCTATCTAGCTTTCATTACCATTTACCACCTTCTCTCTTATTTTTATCGACTCTACACTCTCTTTTCCATTTAGTTAACTCAACGATACATCACTTATCTCATAGTATTTCATATTTTAAACTTTTTAACACTCATAATGTCTTTTTAGCAGCTTATCTCTTTCATCGATGAGCATATCTTTTTCTCAAGCCATGAATCATGTACGAGTGGCATGCAAGCTATGGCTAAAGAAATTTTTACTTTGAAAGCCAATCACATATGGACACTTATACCTTTATCACCTAAAAAGCATGTCATTGATTCAAAATGGGTCTACGAAGTCAAATTTAACCTTGATGGATGTATGAAAAAATACAAAGCTCATCTTATGACAAAAGGATATACTCAAGTCGAAGGTATTAATTTTCATAGGACCTTTGCCCTAGTAGCTGAGTTGGTCACCGTCCGTTTTCTTCTTGCCATTATCTCTATCCGTAAATAAAAAACTCCATCGGCTAGATATTAACAATGTTTTTCTCGCATGGTGATCTTTTTAAAGAAGTCTACATGAAAATCAGTAATACACGGTACTCAATAAATAAGTTTATGAATGTTAAAGGTATATGAAAAAAAATTTACATATAATATTTGTTAAAAGGGTGTTAGGTTATTCAATTCCATTGTATGAATTTTTTTATGTTTAGTGATTATTTTATTTGAACTTTTCAATATATGAATAGTATTTTTGAAGTAAATTAATTATTTTAAGAGCTTTAAAGGTGTATGGAAATTATTCAATAGACATAGAAAATTTTTTTGAGATGTGTAGGAATATTTCATGAACTTAGTTAAATTTTTCTATACATAGGGAATGTTTTCTATGAAATTAAGTATATTTTTACACAAAATAATTAATTATAGGGCTTAAATAAGTGTATAAAAATAATGTGAACGATGAATAAATTATTATAGGATGTGATTGAATTTATTATGAAAAGAAATTAATTTTTGAAATGGTTTGGAATAAATTTTATAGAATTAGGGACTTAATTACATAGAATTAGAGACTCGATTGGATAAAATTAAAAGTTTAAACTTTTAAATTAAATTAGGAATGAACTTTAGGAATTAAAAAGTCGTTAGAAAACCTTTAAAGGAGAGGCCTAAAGTAATCAATTGAAAAATTAGATCACTTTTGAAAAAGTAATTAAAGAAAAGATTAGCAAATTAAAAAACTAAAATTAAGTGATTCTTGGCGAGAGAT